GCTTTTTTGGATCCCTTTCCATCCTTAAACCACATGGTTTGATATGATGCATATTTATGGACTATGTTTTAGTTATTTCATCATACTTGATAGCACGTTTGTGATTCTTCGACACGCAACTTTTAGTTTTCCGTGATGCATATCTATGATTTTTGTGTTGCATTCTTGATGTGATGATCATGTTGCATAATCGTTTGTACGATGGTGATTGTTGGTTCTTGATATTTATCTTGCTGGATTTGTGTCACGTGCATATGTTTGTTTCTGATTTCACAAACGCATGATTATTTGAAAAAACTAATTGGTGTTGAATATGTATGATGTTCTTGATGAATGTTTAGTTGCACAATCTTGTTAAACTTGTTTGTTCTTAATTGTTAATACATGTTCATATTTTATCTACACCATGTCATATGCATTTGTTGAAGTGTTGATGCATACATGCTACTTAAACTTTTACACCCGCTGTCCTGATTTTGGCATGTTGTTATTGTACATGTTTTGCTTTGCTGCCTTTTACACTTGTCATGTTCTGGAATTGAGAGCTGTTAAATGTTATTTTTCTTATTTGCTGGGTTTTTACTGCTGTTCTGAAGTTGAGCATTGTTGTTGTTGTTGGTTTATTTTTCTTGTTTTTGTTTGTTCTTGCATGCTCCCTTAGGGCCTCCTATTCTAACTTAATTTTTTTATTAAGCTTAGAGTAGGATAGACATTAGGTGTTAATCCGTACATGATAACATTAGGTTAGTCCTTTTTTTAACTTCAATCTTAGGTTCACTTTCGCATGCTAACATTAGGATAAAGATCCCTTTCGTATCCCAACCTTAGGATCACCTTGCATGATAACATTATGACCAAGTTTTCCTTTTAGACCTTATGTGCGTCTTTCTATCCTCTTTCTCAAAAAAATAAAATTAAAACACTTAATAAAGATAATATGCATTGTATGCCACGAGCCTTAAGTACATGGGAAAAGATGAGCGAATGAATTTCTAACCTCATCTTAGGGTACTTTATACGCGAGACGCTTGAATCGTTAGCGTAAAGTATTTGATCCTATGTCATAGTCTTTAGTGTGATGCGCATTGCAAACAAAGTTAATTCTTTATATTAAAACTCACAAACAAACTACAAACCTTTTTATCCTTCGGGGTTGTTTGTCAAAATCATTTTCAGAAAGAGTACGTTATTTTTCCGTTCTACTGCAAACAGACATCGACCCTAACTGCTGAAATATAAACTTAACTTTGCGCATAAAAACACGTATCAACTTGCACGTCGAACTACGATCACTCTGACTTTCTCATTCTCGTCCAAATGAGGATACGTAGGCATAAGACGGTGAAGTCTTGGAGAACAACCTCCCCTTTTTCACATGTAGTCTTCCGAACTAGGTTGACCTACACTTTCCCATTGCACGAGGGAATAAGTAGGCCTAGGACGACGAAGTCCTATCGAGTCTCCTTTTGTTTTTCCCTTTCCGTTTCCGTTAGTAGTAGGCTTTAGATAATACACCCTTTGATTAAACAACAATTGTGGATCCCGTTGAGTACAATAGACGCGAGAGATGTTAATACCTTCCTCTCGCGTAATCGACTCTTGAATCCAGGATTTGGTTGCGAGACCATGTATTCTCCTTTTTTAAGGTTTTCTTCGTTCATTCCCTTTCCCCCGTTGAGATAAATATATTTTTGTGGCGACTCTTCTGTTTTTTCCGCCGGTTGTTTTTCACAGTTGCGAAAAATATCACGGTGTTCCTCTATTTATAGCCCTTATAAGTTATTAATCGAGTTAGTACACTATGCCTTCTATGCATATACTGAGCCAGTCAATGCAGCTGACGCATTTAAAGACTCAAGGTGGATGAAAGCTTAGATGGATGAGATAAATTCCATAGAAGATAATGATACTTGGTCACTAGTCGAATTGCCAATAAGGGAGAAGGAAATTGATGTGAAGTGGGTATACAAATTCAATCCAAATCCAAGAGGTGAAGTAGTTCGACACAAGGAAAAACTTGTAGCAAAAGGGTTTCTTCATAAAGAAGGAATCGAGTATGACGAAGTCTTTGCATCGGTAGCTAGAATTAAAACAATCAGGTAGGTTATTGGTCTAGCCAATATTCATAATTGGTCGATATGTCAGATTGACGTGAAATGTGTATTCCTAAATGACCCTTTAGATGAAGAGGTGTATGTGACATAACCAATTGGGTTTGTGAAACATGGCCAAGAAAGGAAAGTATACATGATGCATAAAGCTTTGATGGACTAAAAATAAGCTCCAAGATTTTGGAACAAGAAAATAGACGACTTTCTAAGAGAGAAAGAGTTTGAGAAGTGTTTGATAGAGCATGGTTTTTATGCTAAGAGAAACAAGAGTGAGCTGCTTATACAATGTCTTTATGTCGACAACCTGTTGATAACATGTAATTGCAAGAAGAAGATCGAAGACTTAAAACATGACTTAAGTAAGGAGTTTGAAATGTCAGACTTAAGTAATATATCATACTTCTTTGGTATCAAATTCTACAAGAGTAGTAGAGGTTTGATGGTACATCAAAGAAGATATACAAGCGAAATATTCAAGATATTTGAGATGTAATATTGCAACCTAACTTCGAATCCAGCTGAACCCATATTGCAACTGATAAAATATTTGGTTGAAGATTATGTCGACCAACGCAATACAGGAGACTCATTTGATCACTTTGATACATCTGTCACACAATGCCAAATTTAGCTTATTGTGTAGACACCGTCAGCAGATTCATGCAAAAGCCTAATGTATTTCATCTTATAGTCACAAAGAGGAGACTAAGGTATCTCAAAGGAACACTCGACTATGACATTTTGTTTAGAATGCAAACTTGTGGGCTACACTGACTCTAATTGGTGTGGTGATACTGAAGATAGAAAATCGACAACATGATATGTGTTCATGTTAGGTGGTGCGCCAGTCTCATGAAGTTTAAGAAATGAGCTGATGGTAGCCTTATTGATCAGTGCATTTTGATGTATATTCCTTTATGTTTAGACTTAAGCATTTCTATAGTTTGATTTGTTTATTTTTCTATTTTATGATGTTTTTACAATTCAATTTATTTTCAGTCTTATTTGATTTTCGTTTGTTATTTTTAGCATTAATAGCTTTCAATAAAAAATTCATAACTGAAGCTAAGGAATCAGATCGAGGCGTTCTACTAGTCGTTGAAAAGCTAAGAAAAAAATCTACAACTTTTGTGTTGCACGAAGAATCTGATTCAGATTGAATGAGTATCAAATGATTCGTCGAAGTTTCTAACCATAATAATTAAGTTGTTTTAGGTCATCCCTTTTGGGCCGGGTTTTTTATATTTTTCGACCCAGTTGGGTTAAAACCAGAAGTGTTGATGCTTTCTTATACATAGCCGCCGTACTACTGTCACTAAACCTTGTTTTCACAATTTTACTTTTTGCTTTGTACGAAGAATTCATGGAGAACTAATTTCAATTGTTGATTTACTATACTTTTTCAAAATTACTCATTTTTAATCTGCGCGCGAAAGCGAATCACTTATCATCATGTTAGGCAAAATACATAACAACTTTGCTATGTGTATGCCAAACAACATGGATGAAAAATCTAATTGAAGAAATAACAGAAAAGAATTATGAAGTAATGACCATAAAGGTCAACAACATAACGACTATCAATTTGATCAAACTAAAACTTCATAAATAAGTGGCAACACTAAAGAATATATATATATATATATATATATATATATATATATATATATATATATATATATATATATATATATATATATATATATATATATATATATATATATATATATATATATATATATATATATATATATATATATATATATATATATATATATATATATATATATATATATATATATATATATATATATATATATATATATATATATATATATATATATATATATATATATATATATATATATATATATATATATATATATATATATATATATATATATATATATATATATATATATATATATATATATATATATATATATATATATATACTAGTAACGATTTAAAAAATAATACTACAATATAATAAGATGATAAAGTATAATTAACTTTAAACTTAAATGAGTTTTGTTGACTCTTCCATTATTATTTTTTTGGAGCTTTCCCCATTTTTTAAATCCCAAAATAATGCTAATTTTGTGCTGATTTATCAAATGATAGTTTTGATATTAAATTTTAAAATACATTATAATACTACATAAGTTTCACGTGCACTATTTTCTCAATCATCATATTTACTAAATGTTAAAATTTGACATAGAAATCAAAATTGTATAAAGCCAAAAACTAGATTATCAAATTATGTTTCTAAGCAAAGTAACCTAAGCCAAGAAGATTTAAGCAAAGATACAAAGATTAACAACTTAAATTTTATTAATCATTATCATTATGGTTATAGAATCTAAACTTCAAAATTAATTGGTTAAAGAAAGAAAGAGAAACCTTATCTAAAATATTTAAAGCCCAAGCTTCTCTTGGTGCTCTTTAAGAGACCAAAAACAAACTTCATCCACTCAAAAACTCACCCCTATCGTCATTGCAAAAGCCAACAAACTTGTTTCCCTGGCCACCACCAACCCTTATTTTACACCACTCTCTCTCACTCTATATTCTTCATTGACACAAGGCTCTTTTTCACTTGAACCCATTTCCAACCTTTGCAGTTTTTGCCATTTTTCAACTCTGTATTGGTGAGTTTCTATCTACATTCAACCCCACTCTCCTCCTTTTTCTTAAACTTCTATTTATCACATTATTTCTTGCTTCTGAAAATTTATGACGCTTCTTGGAATATGATTTTACTTTATGCAAAACTAACTTTTTCATCATTTTAAGCAAGTTCATGTTTAGTAGCTATGAAATAATTTGGATCCGATTTATTACTTTGTTTTATTGTGTTATATCTAAATATGATTCCAAAAAGCAATGTTCTTGGTAAACTTTGCTCTCTTTTATGTTTTAGTTACTATTCTTGCATGTTTTCTTGGATGATTATTTACTTCTTGATTGGTTTTTTGTTTCTGAATGAATATTATTATGCAATGTGCATCTTGGTAGAATGCTGTTTGTGTTTGATTCTTTTTTTTTGTTGAGCAGAAAATGGCGCAGATTTTGGCACCTTCGACTCAATGGCAGATGAGACTCGCGAAAACCTCGCCGTGTGCAACTCAAATCACATCAAAGATGTGGAGTTCTTTAGTTATGAAACAAAACAAGAAAGTTGCGCGTTCTGCTAAGTTTACAGTAATGGCTATCAACTCTGAAAATGGTACCATCAATAGGGTGGAGGATTTGCTTAATTTGGACATCACTCCGTTCACTGACAGCATTATTGCTGAGTACATATGGTATTTTGGTCTACTCCGTCTCTGTTCGTATTTATTTCGCCGTGTCTGATTCTTACTAGTATCGACGTGTTCAGTGTTCATGGTGGTGTTAATGCTTCATAGCTTCTGTATGAGGATGCAAGGTGTTTAAATCATGATACTTTTTTCTGAAACAGGATCGGTGGAACAGGAATCGATGTGCGCAGCAAATCAAGGGTATGTTAATAAATATTCAGGCTATTGTATTTGATCTATCTCATGCTATTCATTGTAATCTTGTATGTATGTTTTTTATTCGCAGACCATATCAAAGCCTGTTTCGCATCCCTCTGAGCTTCCTAAGTGGAACTATGATGGATCTAGCACTGGACAAGCCCCTGGTGAAGATAGTGAAGTGATCCTATAGTAAGATTTTTCGTACCGATACTTCTAAGATGTTATGAGTTACTAGTTTTACCGCATGCGTTGCAGTTTTTTTCTTTTTTTTTTTACTTTTTCTTTTTCTTTCTTCCAAAGTCCTCAAGCAATTTTCAAAGATCCTTTCCGTGGCGGAAACAATATTTTGGTAAGAGGTCTTATTATACTTGAAAGCTGTTTCATTTTGTGGCATGTTGATTGAAATTTATGAAATTAATTGGATTACTTTGTTTTGTGAAGGTCGTTTGCGACGCGTATACACCAGCAGGCGAGCCTATCCCTACAAATAAGAGACACAGAGCTGCTGAAATCTTCAGTAACCCAAAGGTTGAGGCTGAAATTCCATGGTATGCATTGTACTATTTATCTTTTTAATATGAATAACTATTGTTGGATCGGAAACTAGAAAATGTTACTGAGTATCTTAAATATGAAGATAACTGAACTTTTTTTGCGGTGAATTATAATCTTAGCAGAAAACATGCTGATGATATTGTATGTTGATTGTTCAAAGGTATGGAATAGAACAAGAGTACACTTTACTTCAAACCAATGTGAAGTGGCCATTAGGTTGGCCCGTAGGTGGCTATCCTGGTCCTCAGGTAATACCACTTTTGTATTTATTTCAACTTTTATAGGATTTCGAGAACTTTTTACTTAAAATGTTCCTTCATATATCAGGGTCCTTATTACTGTGCTGCCGGAGCAGATAAGTCATTTGGACGTGATATATCTGACGCTCATTACAAGGCTTGTATATATGCTGGAATTAACATCAGTGGCACCAATGGAGAAGTTATGCCTGGACAGGTAAAATCTCCTTCCGTTTCATGTGTTATGATCTATGAATCATCGACACAAACATAGATAACAAAAATGACATTGACATTAACCTGGGAAAATGAAATATGTGGATATAGGCACATGTATCGGATACTAACATGTGTCAGACACCTTCATCGTATTTATTGCATAGGTTATGATTATCTAAACTGTTTTTCTCACTATTTTTTTTATGAATATTGCAGTGGGAGTATCAAGTTGGCCCTAGTGTAGGTATTGAAGCTGGTGATCATATCTGGGCTTCAAGGTACATCCTTGAGGTAATTCCATTTAACCTACTTTTGGTTTTTCATATTTGATACAGACTTGTATCTTCGAATTGAAATACATTGCAATTTGTTTGTAATGGCAGAGAATTACCGAACAAGCTGGTGTTGTGCTCTCTCTTGATCCAAAACCAATAGAGGTACTACTCTATAATATGCTTTATTCTGCATTATTATTTCTTACCTTATACTAACAAATTCTTCTAATTTGGTTAACCTTGACAGGGTGATTGGAATGGTGCAGGATGTCACACCAATTACAGGTTTTCTTGACATATCTTTGTTATGAATCATAATTGCACATGTCTTGTATTTGACTAGCTAAATAAAATATCATCTGATTCTTAGTACAAAGAGCATGAGGGAAGATGGAGGGTTTGAGGTAATAAAGAAGGCCATTTTGAACCTTTCCCTTCGCCACAAGATCCACATTGAAGCATACGGAGAAGGTAACGAAAGAAGGTTGACGGGAAAGCATGAGACAGCCAGCATTAACGCATTTTCTTGGGTAATATTTCTTTTAATATTTTGAATTTCTATTCTTGTTAAACACACAACAATCAAACACGAACATGAAAGTATATCATCATATCATGTGTAACATTCTTATAAAATTGAACACGCAGGGAGTGGCTAACCGGGGATGCTCAATCCGTGTGGGAAGAGACACCGAGAAGAATGGCAAAGGTGAGCGAGCTGCACGATAGTTTAATGCGGTTTTTAATATTCAAAGTTTGAGTTCTATTAGTATTATATCATATATATGTTGATTGCAGGTTACTTGGAAGACAGGCGTCCGGCTTCGAACATGGATCCATATGTGGTAACAGCATTACTGGCAGAAAGTACATTATTGTGGGAACCAACTCTAGAGGCTGAAGCTCTTGCAGCTCAGAAGATTGCATTAAAGGTCTAAGTCTATTGACTTCCAGATGGAGATTGTGAGGAGCTGAGAAGCTCTTTTAGATGGTTTATGTTTATATTATGAAGATCTTGTTTTCTGTGGACAAATGATGCTGCCATGCCTAGTTACTGGTTGAATGCACATTGTATTTGCGTATATGGTATGGACAGAATTGCATTGATGATTTTCTTGGTTATAGCTTTTGATTTAGTTTTGCTTTTCTACAAATAAATCACTCAGCTCAAGTACCTAAGAAATAGACTAAGCTTTCAATTTAGTGTTCTTAGTAAGAGAAGGATTATCGTAGGATCAAATTACATCCACAAAGCAAGTTTCTATAATATACCCTATACACTCCAGGGCTGAACAGACTAGTGATTTTGGTCCCAAACCTCCAACCCAGCCCAAATTTCTGTTCTATGGTCTAATTTTGACCATTTATTTTTTAAGGTTGCTCTTCCCACTTTAGTGGGGATGGGTTGGAGATGCACCTTTGTAAACAATAAAATGACTCTGAAATACTTTGAAAGGAACTCCATGATTGAGGAGTTGGTAAACTTTATGCTTCCTCTAGTACCAGATGATTATATAAATCATCAAACATCGTATCAACATCTTTGTGAATGACGGCGGTAAGAGCAGACACGATGGGGCCTATTGGAATACCTTGTAGAAACATGAACTGGCACATGATCTCATTTAGGCAGATGTTGATAAGTCAAGCATGACCCACAAGCCAAGCATCAGGAGTAGAAGACTATGTCATCCGAAGGACACGCTTGACGGTGATCGTCGCACGATGTGTAATGTATACCATTTGCTTTAGTGCGGTCAAGAAACACTATGAATGGCTCAGTCACCTGATTCCCTCTAAGCAAGACGAATGCTCAAGCATGTAGCAAATCCTTAGAGTAGTCATCCACATATGACCATCCAGAGATGCGTGGAAAGTGTTAGAGCATTCATAACTGAAAATGGTACTGATACAATATTAATAATGGTGTAGCATAAGTGTTGTGAAATATTAGTAACACTAAAAGTGAAAAATATATTACTGTAAACAATGTGCAACTTGCTATCAACTATCTGGTCTTCTAAAGACAAACTTCATCTAACTTCGAGTACATGTGATCCAAACAAGTGGTCTTCAAATTGTACTCATGAACCCGCTCAAAGTCAGCGAAGTATCTAAGATAATCCACGTCAACATAATAAGTACTTTTGTCCATAAATATGGACATGATAACCAAATACATGAGGAATGACCTCAATGCACATGCTTTATGATGCAAAACCTGTGCATCATCACCATCGGCCTCTACTGCTGCAACCATGTAGTTTCTACACATGTCCTCAAGAAATACAAATCTAGCACGACATTGTTGCACCCTAAAATTTGCTCAACCTACTTCACTTGGTTTATGTTTCAATAGCTTTAGCATTTGCATATTAGGTCATGTACATAATTAATTCATCTGCATAGCATAGCATGGGCAAGCCATCCAACAAGGGACCAAATGCAATTCTTATCTCTATGAGCATATCAAGTGATTCTTATTCAAATTCAATCTTAGCCAAGTCATCATCCGAGAAGTTAGTGGATCAAGCAGTGGATCTATCTCCTATCTTGAGGGTATTTGAAGATCATCAAAGAAGTTGTGAGCAAGGAATTGAGGTCATGGAGGGTATATAGACATCATGGAGGACCTAGAGGGTCATTTTGAAAGTGAGACCAGTCATTGATGTGATTACAAGAGCTGCAGTTGAAGGCAGTCAACTAGGGTTTCATCTGAGTCAACCCTAAGTCAAATGCTTGATTGAAGGGCATCAAGGCCTGTTTGAAAGATGTGGAATGCCTCATTTGAGATGTAGATATGGATGTGGTGTTGTGCCAAGGAAGAATCAAGAGAAATCAAGAAGAAGAGAGGTTTCTAAATTAGGGTTTCTGTGTAAAATCCCCTAATTTAGGGCAAACTTCCAAGCAAGATAATTCAAAATTCAAGTCTCAAATGGATCCTTGGCCAACATGAAACTTGTAGAGGATCTCAAGACCTTTAATTTGAGTGGTGGAAGACATCAAGGAGATTTATAGAACTCAAGTTATGGTTCTTGCAAGTTACAGGTCGTCAGAGGCATCTGAAATTTGTCTGTGAAAGTTACTTGACTTCCAAGCAACTTTTACCCCTCAAGGAGCTTTCAAATGGATTTCTGGTCATCATGAAAGTTGTTACTCATGATCTTAGCTTTCTAGAAAGGTATAGTATGCCTTAATCTGATTTGTGGAACTCTACTTATGACTTTGGCAAGCGAAGGGTATTTTGGTCATTTGGACATTATAGGTCATTTCAAGCATATGGCCATATCTCCTACTTCCAAGCTTCAAATGGAAAAACCTTCGACATCAAAGTTGCTTAGAATGATGTTTTAAGGCTAGTAGGGTGGTCATGAGATGTTGGAAAGACTCATAGCAAAAAGTGATAAAAATGGCCTAAAAAAGGGGAATAAGTCAAATAAAGTGGTGAAAAAAAATCAAATTTTGGGTTAGAGGTCACAAACAAGCCATATGACATACCAATTTGATTGTAAAATGCATTTTAAAGACAATGGCATTGGCACATTTTTGAATTGAGCAATAATTTCATGACTTGCTTTGTAAAAGTGGTTACTTGAAATGTAAGTCACTAATCCAAACCACTTAACAAGGCATTTGGAAGGCTATTTTGGTTGGAAACTTCCAAGGGAAGATACATGAACAATCTAGAAATTTCCAAGGGAAGATACATGAACAATCTAGAAATTTCCAAGGGAAGATACATGAATAATCTAGAAAGTTCCAAGGGAAATGGATTTTATTATTTTGGACTTCATTTCTAGAATATTCCAATCATCTCTATAAATGTTTAGAAACTCGTTTGAAGCAAGGTTGGTGATTGATTGGAGTTGGATTGGAAGAGAGCATATCAATTTTCAAGAGAGCAAATCAAGTGGTGATTCTTCATTCAAGGCGATTTCGGTTAGATTCGAAGATTGTAGCACTTTCCTCGTATATTGTTGCACGAATTTGAAGCTTTCGGAAGTACGAAAAGAGCCGAAGATACTCCGTTTCGAAGCTCTGATCAAGGTATGTAAACCTTCACTTTACCATGGATTTAGGATGAGATAATTAGAAATTCTCATGCGGTTAGGATCATGAACACCTATGGATGATTTTAGGATTGTTAATTTGGAGATTTTCTTCATTCCCTTTTTCTTTTTATTTTTCTGTTTTGAGGCCTGTTTTCTTTTATTGCGGCAAAAATAGTAAAAATGTTCAAGAAATTATGAAATTTTTTTCTACAGATCTTGATTATCTTAAGAAATTTTAGGCGTTGGGTTTGCATTTTTTAGATTTTTTTTGATTTAGTTATGATTTTTCTTTCGTGCTAATATCCATTGGTGTACATATCTGTTCATTTGTTTTGTTCAATTTTGTTCTCTTTAATGCTTCATGATTTTGAGCTGATTTTTGGATATGTTTTAGATGATATTTGTAGGTTCCCCAGAAATTTTATTGGAATTTCTAGACGACTCTAAGTTTAGTTTTGAACCCGCTTTTTAGAGCCATCCCCATCTGAATGTTCCCTGGACACTTTATAGGTTTTCCTTTAGAAAGTGACCTTAACTTTAGAATTTGGTTTTAATTTTTTTACCATAGGTTGCTAACATCTTCAGGAGATTGTATAATTTTTCTTAGATTTTTGTGGATTGTTTTCCCATTTCTTTTGCATTTTACATTCTGATAAGTATTTTAATTGATGTTTGCTTTGCATATTTGATACCGCTGTTTTGTAGAATTTTGTTCTCTCAATTGGTGATGATTCTTGCTTAGATCTTTTGGTAGATTGTATTTAACACTTGCATGTTCCCTTAGGAATTTTTGTAGATTTTCTAGATGTAATTTGGTTCTGTTTTAGGGTTGTTGATTAAGACCTTCCCAATTGATGGTTAACTTTGACCCCTTGCATGTTAGGAATTGTTTAGACCCCTTAGAAGTTGATATAGGGTTTGATCTTCGATCTTGATAATATAGATATTAATATACTTTAGGGTTTCCCTTAGGATAATGTGATGAAAATGGTAACAAAAAATGTTGAAATAGATATGGTAATAAAAAACTTAGAATATTTTAGGGTTTAAACACAACATAGGTGCAACAAAACAATTTCTTTTTGGGTTTTTTAGGTTGAATTAGAAGATGGGACTATAGGGGTATTATGGGTAAGTGTAGTAGATCCCTTAGAATAAATATTATAATTTTCCCCTATTATAGTAATATATTTAGTATATTTTTGTAATTGTTTGATTGTATGGTGTGCCAGTTTTGGGGTTATTGCTTGTTATTTGGGGCTTATTGGACCTGCTTGGGGTTTGGGTTAGCCTTGAAGACTTTGTTGATGGAGCCCATTGAAGACAAAAAGAGTTGAAGATCAAGTTCAAGAGTTGATGAAGATTGTAGCTTGCTTGCAGCTGTTGAGGTTGTAGGATCTAGGAGTTAGGTAGAGCTCTAGAATAGAAAATTGATTCACAAACATGGAAGGTCTTATTTGCCTCCATTCTTTCTCTATGATTCAAAGTCTCTTCTAAATACCCACCTCCTTCCTTTGGAAGGATTAGTGAATGTATTTAAAAGATAGAACTTTTGAGAGAAAACTGTCAGTATCATGTTAACAGTCAGTAGGCCACCCTTGGTAGGCAATTGACTGCTTAACATCCAATTCATCTTGTTGACTGCTGCTCATCTTGGAGAGTGAGACTTGAAGAAAAGCCAGTGAAAGATTGAAGATAGAAACCTTGCTTGAAGGCTTGAAGATGAAGACTGATGCTTGCTTGAAGCTTGTAGATGTTTTGAAGATGACTTGAAGATAGAAGATGATGGAGCTTGATGTGCTGGGTTGCTGTTTGCTGTTTATAATTTTTGATGTATTGTTTGAATTTCCCTGACTGTATTGTGTGCCATTTAACCTGTTAGGTTG